TGGATAATCCAAAATCTAATTGTTTTAGATGTGTCGAATAGATGTGGCAATGGATTTGGATAATCCAAAATCTAATTGTTTTAGATGTGTCGAATAGATGTGGCAATGGATTTGGATAATCCAAAATCTAATTGTTTTAGATACACTTGGATATGATCTGTTTCGATTTGGATGCCCATAATCATTTCATTCAACAAAATTCATCGTCCATTAGACACCATTTCAAAAATTCGTGTGTCCATGGGATTTATGTGGACCTATCTACCTGAGATTGAAATACTTGCCTTCAATGTACTTACATTCTATAATTATGACTTGGGGCCCACATGTATGTCTAGACATCTACGGCCCGTTCGGTAGGCTGGCTGGGCTGGCTGGTGTTGGGCTTATCAGCCCAACCGTTCGGCAGCCCCGCACCAGCCGCACCAGCTGAACGGCTGGTCTTATACCCGTTGCTCGGTCCAGCGTGCGGCGTCTCTCACTTTCTCCCCTTTCTCCTGTCGGTGGCTAGGGTTCCACGCACACGCGCCGCTCGTCGCCGTCTCTCCGCGCGTTTACCAGCGGTGGTCTGCATCGCATCACCGGGCGTCGTCGGTGGCCACCAGATCCGGGTGCGGCCGCCTCTCTACGCCGTCCTCCTCGCCGGGGCTGCGGTGACAGTGACGTCCTCCTCCTTCCCCCACCCCGCCTTCATCGACGGCGCCTTCGGACAACAAGGTAACCCGAATCCCACGCCGCCGTCCTCTCACCTAGCCGTCTCTGAGCCGCAGCTGTTCGTCTTGTAGTTTGACCCCCGCGCGGCTAGGGTTTCCCGCACTCTCGCGCGGGCCTCGGTGACAGTGCTCTCGGCCTCTCTCCCCGGACCCCGCCTCCATCAACGGCGACTCCTTCCAGCACGGTAAGCCCCCCGAAACCCGCCGCCGCCGCAGTTTGGCCCCGCCGGATCTAAGATCCAACATGTATTCATGTCTGCTCATGTATGTGTCGGATAGAAATCCCCACATGTTGTGAGATTGAATGTACGTTTATTTGAGGAAGTTTCTGATGTGTGTTAGAACTGCTTGTATCAAGTTGACAAATTTTACAGATTTGCAAATAAATGCAAGGAATTCTGGCTGTGTAATGAATTTGCGTTGTTATTTGTTTTTGTTTCTATATTACAGAACTGCTCTACCTACAGATTTTAGGAAGTTTCTGATTACTTTCTGAACAGATCTGGTAGATGATGCTTAATGGCTTAGTTAACCTTTGAAACACCTTTTGGTAACAACTAATAAGTTGTATTACTTTTCATAAGCTTTCTAAAATGTTAAGGATCACAAGTTTTTGTAAACTAGAACTCTAGTTATAGCTGTTCTAATTTCAATGCCAGATTCTGTCCAAATTTGGACAGAGTTGTTTCCTTGTATTGTTTGACCCTGTTAACTGTGGAATGAGCTCTTGATGATAGTTACAAAGTTGTAGGTGGTTTCTTAAGCTTTTCAGAAAGTATAGGATCACCCTTGTGGGATCTCTATATTTTCAGTTATGATTGATAGAAGTGACTGCTATGTTGCTGTTCTGAATCCGTGTGTACATAGAGTTGATTGTTTTAGCTCATTCTTGCCTAAGTGGTGATAAGTATAGCTTAAGGCTTCTTTAGTGTTAACTTAGTACACAATGAATTCTCTGTTGATATTCTAGTTCAGATTATGTTAGACAGTACACATGTAATGTTCTTCACCCCTGTAAATGTTCAATTTTTCAGTTATGTTTATCATCTTACAAGTGTGCTATATGATTGCGCTGCAGACATAGAAGGGACGTTTCGTCCGGTTGTGAGCAACGCTGCCCAAACTGGCAGCGTCGTCGGCTTTGTCTTGCTCTCCAACTGCTGGCAGCCACTACAACCTCCGCTCAAAACGCCGCAAACGGACACAAAAGGCAAGTTAGGGATATGATTTGGCAATTTGCTGTTTGGATTTGGGGTTTAATTCTCCTTTGGTAATGTTACAGTGACAGTGAGTGGTGGTCCTTACACACCATGGTTATTTTTGTGGTTAATTTGCTTGCTTCCTCTCTTGCTTTTCACCATGAAATTTTGTAACCATGATCAGTTTTCACTTCCTAGCAGATTCTGACTTGCCATTATCAGCGTCTATTATAGGTTTTATTCGTGCTTATATTTTCTGGCATAAAACTGTATTTTAATTAATTATTTGTTGTTACAGTGAGGGCTATACTAAGTCACGGATGCTTCTGGCAATTTTGCTACTTTTGGACTTTGGACACCTGTAATACCATTTCCAACCCCAATAAGATCAATTGTTTCTTAGCTTCTATAGAACATAAGCATGATAAGCATACCCACTAGATCTAACTGCAGTATTCTTGGGAAGCTAATCATCAAGCAGAAAGAGCTCTGTCACTTGAACTCCACTGGTCCAACCTCACTAGGGTGGACCAATGTCTCGGGTACAGCAAGAAAAAGTGACAGAACAAGTACAACGAGCTGAAACGTTGTTACTTCAATTGGCGCGACGGACAGACCCATAGGCTAGGCCGTGACCCGCTTATTGGCGAGGTTACAGTTGACCCCGAGTGGTACGGTGTCAGCCCCGGGGTACTAACTACACACACTTCCTTGACTTTTTTTAGCAATTAGGTTCCTACTACCTCAATACTGACTTCGCCATCACTAGAACACGTGCAGGAAAGTAGCCAACCTACTAGAAACAAGTTCAGACGGCCCCAATGCTATGAGCAACTGATCACGATTTTGGGACGCACCCCACGTGATAGGGGCCAGTTGCTATCGGCGGGGGGCCATCGACCTAACAAGTCACCCAGTAGTGGAAGCCCTCGCACTCCTCCATCCTTGTCGGACAAGCCGGTCTTGCAACCTAGTGGTCATCAGCCCTCGAAAAGAGTCCATAGGGAATATTTTGTTAACAGTCCTCGTAGCAAGAAGAGTATCCAGACTCCATCCGTAGACCGTAGAAGAGTGCCTTGAAGACCTCAGCCAATTTATCAGGGAGGCTAGGTCCCAGAAGGCGGGGGCTTGTCATGACATGGCGGTGTTGAAAGACTGTCAGGGCGATGCTTCGTTCCCACATCCCCTAGCAGGTTCGTGATGCCTTGATGTTCACCATTCCTTACTTGTTTGCTTGTAGTAGATGTATTGAAGCATACTTCTGTAACTACATAAAAGCATGTGTACCACTGTAGTAGATGTATTGAAGCATATCATTTAAAAGATCAATTATATAGATCCACCGAAGCTTCTAGAAGATCAATTCTAGATGTGTGCTCAAGAGATCATCTGCATTTAAAAGATCAATTCTAGATGTATGCACTTTTATAGATAGAAAACTTAGTGACTTATTAAAGCCAGCTGCTAGTATATGCATGTGTTCTTTGTTAGTATAGTTTGCTCCAGTGTTTAAGAATACTATGGAGTGCTCTAACTTAACCTAAGGGGCGAAAGCTGCTGCTAGTTTCTTTACATGCACTACTGGAATCTCGCATTTTTCTGTGTGTGCGAAAACACACAGAAAAATGCGAATACCATCAGAAAAATATTTTTCTGATGGTGTACCCTCAGAAAAATACCCACAGAAATATAACGACAGAAAAAATTCAATTATTCTGTGTGTTCGCCATCAGAAATAATTTTTCTGCGGGTGTTACACGCACAGAAAAATTACGTTCGCCCATATTAAAACTAATTTTTCCGTGTGTTAATCCACACAGAAAAAAGAAATAAACGTACAGAAAAACACATGTTTTTTTTCTGTCGGTCTAGGTGAACTCACAGAAAAATTCATTTCGCCCAGATTAAAAAAATATTTCAGTATAGCCATCCTCACAGGAAAAAAGAGTTAAACACACAAAAAAATTATTTTAAAACAGTAGCAACAACATATTAAAATATATATTTTCCATACAGTACTTTCTGTGCATGACCAACAAGGTTTCATTCAAATAATACACAAATAGTCAACACTTATGTCAAAAATAGACGACGACAGGCTGCCTCCGCCTGCCCGCTGCCTGCCTGAGCCTGAGCATGACCTCGGGGACAGGAGAAGGCCACCGGAGCTCTGCATTGCCAGCAGCAGCCCAGTCACAAGAAGCACACACAATGTATCCTGAGTTCATTTAGGCTCGCGTGATGTGATTTACCTCGGTCTGGGACTCCATCAGGAGCGGGACGACGGCTTCCGTCATGCCCAGCCTGCTCATGCTGAGAACCTTCAATCAAAGACATGCAATACAGATCAGTTGAAGAAATGCTTGAAAATTAAAGTACAAAAATGGAAGGTTAAGATAATTATAAAGCATGTTACAGTATGAATCACTATCTTATTTGATACCTCCTGCTGAAACATAATAAAAGAAACACAAGTCATAATCTAGTAGATTTATTGATCAATTCAACAGTTCATCCCAAATATATAAAAAAGGACAATTTTCCTTAGCATACTGGTGATGAACTGTCAATAACTCAAAGAATAGAATGCATTTTAATCCTATAAAGAATACTCAACCATTTCACACAGCGCCAAACAGTTTTAAGAATGTTAAAAGGCTGGATGAAAACAATCAAGAGAAAGCCAAAGTGGTAGTAACTTGGCAGCTAACTTCCACTAGACTGCATGGTTTATATCAGTAATGCTTGTATCAGCACATCTACCATACACTAAGAAAAACACTAAAGACAGCTATGATACAAATCAAGTGCCTATCTCAAACTCTGAAAAGGTTGGAACAATGTCAGGCCAATTCAAAATCAGTAAGGTATGCACTAGTAGAAGTGTACAGTCTGATCATAGAGGCTCATCAATGACTCACATACAAATCATGAGGATGGCACTACCAAGAACTAATAAGTAATAACATATAAAGCAAGATACAGATCATGGTATATATACCACAAACTTTCTATATCAGTTGACTTCAGTTTATTAATTGGACAATTATAAACACTAGGAGCATGCTTTCCTCAATTATAAACACCAATGGGCAATTCAGATGCTAAGCAATCAGATTCTTGGGATGGCTGGAATGTTGTGCTTGCTGAGAACTCATACGGTACTGCTCAATGGAAAGAGACAGCTGATTCTAGTAACAAGGACTGGAAAGCAGATGGATGGGGTGCCAAATCTGGTAACTGGAGCAACCAAAGAAACAATCCTGGGAGACCCCCAAGGAGACCGGATGAGAGGGGTCCACCTCCACCAAGACAATTGTTTGAACTAACAATAGAGGAGAAGAATATTCTTGTAGAAGTTGAACCCATAATATTCTATGTGAGAAGTTGAACCCATAATATTCCTATGTTACAACAAAAGCACCATCTAAAGGACCCAGCTTTTACAAATATATTGAATTATGCATTGCCTTCAACAAATAATCAGCATGAGAAGGCTCGAGAAAGTAAGGCAGTGCAAAGGAACAGATCAGTTATATACTAGCACAGAGTAGTGATGATATCTCAAAATAATAATAATAAGAAAAAAATAGGTCACGAGCGCTGAACAAAACATGATGACAAGGCGCATGTATTAGTAGTTCTACTAGAGTTAGGACCCACTTATAGTACTCAAAGTCTTAGTCTTAAACAGTCAGCACAGATTAGCACGCAAAACCAGTGACCTGTGCATGGCATGTAGCCCAGGTACACAAAATACCAATAATAAGATGGTGATCAAATGATGTAGTATTCAACACATTGGCCTCAGATATCAGTTGCTCCTCGGTTGACTTTGAGCTTGGAGCATAAGAAACAAACAGAGTAAGAAACAAAGTTCTAGTACCTCAACACAAGCTCAAGGTCATCAGTTCTTGGCATGCTTAATATGATATCATCATTGGCAAAGTAAGTGAGGCCTCAGCTTAACGATATGTTGGTACAATTTCCAGATACTCAATCATAGGTGGCTGCCAAGGCAAAAAACAGATATAAGAAAACTAAGATCATGTCCCATGGTTTGATGGCAGTCATGAGAATCATACAGAATGCACAAAAAACAAATTGCAACCACCTCAGAGTTTATTTTTCATGTTGCATCATTGGCCAAATAGATATCAAGAGTTTGAACATCACAGTCATATCAAGAGATTGAACATCAGTGTCATAAATTCTAGATGCTTCAGCACAAAGAACCCTCACTAGAATCAGAGCTATGAACTTAAGCAAGACGCGGCTGCCACACCATAGGGTGCTCCTCCAGCGCCTAGGGTTAAGTAAACATCATCGACCAAGGCACTTTGCTCAGTTTGCAAATCGGACTAGGCATCATCATGCGCAAAATCTAGGCGACAACACATGTGTACAACAAATAAGAGGTGCACATCACACAGATCTAAGGGTGGAACAAGACGAAAGCAAATGTAAACATGTAGATCAACAAAAATGTCACCCAGATCTAAGTATCTAAGAACATAAACCCTAATATCAGTGGATGACAAACAAAATCCACAAACAATTCAACATAAATCACCGCACGGAGAGGGGCAGGAGATGGGGGTAGGTGAGATATACTGTCGGAGCACTGGAGGACCAACACGAATCCGCCGGTGGAGGTTGACCGTATAGGTCAAGCGAACTCGATGGGGAGGAAGAGGAGAGAGCGCACCAAACTAGAGGAGGAAGGAGAGGCGCGAAATGAGGGCGATAACCCTAGCCCAGGCCCCAGGATGACAAGAACTCCCGCACAAGATCTGGGGGCGACGGTGGCCACCGCGGCGGTGGCAGAGAGGAGGAGGAGGCAGATCTGGGGGCGGCGGGCGGCGAAGCTCCTTGGTGCGGCAAGAGGTAGATCTGGGGGCGGAGGAGCCGCCATCCGGCCTTGCATGGGCAGCCACCGCCGTCTTTCGAGGGAAGAGAGGGGAGGAGTTGTAGTGGAGGAGGGGGTGGTGGCCTCACCGGTGGAGGAGGGGGTGGCCGCCGCGATGGTGGAAGAGAGGAGGGGGTGGCCGCTACGAGACCTAGGAGCGACGGGAGTGCGGGCGTGGTCTCGGGCGGGTGCGGTGGGCGGCCGCGTCTGGGATAGGGATGGGCGGCCGCGTTTGGGTGTATTGACGCAGATAATTTTTTTGGTATATAGTTTTTCTGTGCGTGTATATAGTTTTTCTGTGAGTTTTGAAAAGACCGATTGAATAATGTCAATTTTTCTGTGTGTATTGACACGCACAGAAAAAACACGCAATTTTTCTGTGGGTTTTCGAATATTTCTATCGGTTTTTCTGTGTGTATAGAGAAAAACGCACAGAAAAATTCATCACCCACAGAAGTATTCGAGTTTCCAGTAGTGATGTAGTTATAGAAGTGTTGCCTTGTTTCTTTATCTTTATTATCTATATCTGTGAGTCTGCATAGGTTATTTGTTTGGGGTTCGATGGATTAAGTTGTACTTAGAGCTAGATTGGTCTTTTTATACAGTGGTTCACATGCTTTCATGTGAAGCTTTGACGCTTGTAGTAGATGTATTGAAGCATACTTTTGTAACTATTTTCATCTCTTGTAGGCCAGTACTACCTGGCGGACGTGGGTTACACGGAGATGACAGGGTACATGACCCCCTACAGAAACACAAGGTATCATATCAATGATTTTAGGGGCGTAGATTTGCAGCAGTTGCAGAGGGAGGAGAAATTCAATTACATTCATGCGAAGTTGCGAAATGTCATTGAAAGGAGGTTTGGGGTGTTGAAAGAACGTTGGAAGATTCTGGACGGGGTGTCGTACTGCAAGAGGATGAAGCATGCTATGATAATCATTTCATGCTTTGCTTTAGATAATTATTTGTGGATGCGTAAGTACGGCGCTGATCCACCATCGTACGAGCTGCCGGAGTGGGTTGAGCTAAATCGGGGAACCCCAATCTCTAGAGTTAGGGAGTTAATATCTATGGTTGTGTGGAGTGGTGTATGATTTAGGAAAGTTGAGGTAATGCAGCTGGTCCTCTATTGCTGTACAGTAACTTACCTGCTTTTGTTCTAATAATATGGCATCTTTCTCTAAGGTGTTCAATTCTATGTCAGGGATTGTGTATTGCATGGATTACTTGGAGAAGAATATTGATTGGCTTGAAGAAAAACTGAAGCCTCTTATTGAAGGTGAGTAAAAGAATACCTCTCTGAAGTTTCGAAAGGGTTTAGTTTGGTTAACTGCAGCTCATGGGAGCTGGAGGGACCGCATTCAGATGATCCGACATTCACTGCATTGCCTATATTCATAGCAAGTATTGATGCCGTGAGATTGTTTGTATGTGGTTTGGGTCAAGGCTGTTGTTTTTTAAACTAGTAGCTTTTGGTACAGTTCCATGGCAGTCTTGTCTTGTGCATGTGTAAGATTTTGTGGCACTATGTTTGTTTAAAAAAATGTATTATGGGACTATCATATTGTGTTTATTGGTGTATGGGGAATTTTAGTGTCAGAATTACAAGTGCCAAGTTCTATAGTGTTTGGTGATGTGATGAAATACTCTAGAAAAGAATGATAAAATTGAGCATTAGTAAAGCTGTCTGTTTTGATTTATGTTGGTTCATTTGTCTACGGACAATGGACAAGTTGCTACACTGTTACTGTGATTCACCATGGGAAGCAGTGGAGCACATACACCGTCTAAGACAAGCAAGGCATCTGCCCTCAGGTTCTTGATGCTGGGCCTGTGGCATTATATTTTAAGCGAAAAAAGATTACTTCCTAAAAATTTGTCCTTCCTTGTAACTGGAGCAGCAGCCACCTGCTACCTCGGTCTTTGCAACACCATTTATTTATCCTGATTGAGTCCAGTGATTCCCTCCTCCCCTCCAACCCAACGAAACTCTAGGAGGAAATAAATATGTATGTAGCACTTGCAACTTTCGTTTCCATAATTACTAAATCTGTAATCCCCAATGTTTTCAAGGCATCGCTTAATTGACGCTTAGGCGTCGCTAAATGTGAATGAACTAGATTGTTTAATGTTTTTTTTCTGTATTCTGCAGCTGACTGCTGTGCACCTTATCGATGTCCATTTATGCTGTGATCCTGGAAAGTATGTGAGTGCTTTGCTTCTTTCACTGTGAACAATGCTAAACTTGGAATTGCCACATATCAATGTCTTGTCAAAGATTGACCTAACTGAGAACTATGGAAATTTAGGTATTTTGCCTTCGATCTTCCCGATGTTCCTCATATTAAGTCATTCGCGGAGCAGGAGCAAGAAGGATCCCAGCGTCGGCATGTAGACCTGTGATTGTGTGAGGCTGGGCTGGGATGTGCCTGTGATTCGTGTGGAAATTTGTATAGATGTTAGCTGGGCTGGGATGTGCCTGTTGCTATTTGAACCTTGTGTTGTTGCTGTTAGATGAAACTTGTTCTGTTGGATGAATCAGTTGGATGAACCTGAAGCTGGGTTGGGATGTGCCTGTGATTCGTGTGAAATTGGGCGAGTTGAACCTGTTGCTGTTGGGTTTTGATTTGAAATCAGCATGAGCTAGAAATGGCGGGTAGTTTGAATTTGTAACTTTGAATTCAGCATGAAGTACAATTGGCTTGGCGCCATTTTTTGAACTTTTCAAAACCAGCTGCTGGCTAGAGGGCTGGTTTGGCTGGAGCCTGGAATTGGCTGGCTGGGCTGGCTGGTCCAGCCCCAGCACTAGCCAGCCAATTCAGTCCTGCCGAACAGGCTGCTAGTCGCATCGATCTACCCAAAACTAGCAAATAATTGAACTAAGTTGTCTCCAATGAATTCCAGTTAATTTTAGTGTTTGACTTTTGATGTGGGGCCACGTATATATATTTAGTAACACCGGTCTGTGTAGAGCAGCGAACAATTGTAGAGAAAACTCAGTTGTTGTTCGATGAGTTTACCTTTGTTTTCGCAAATAGAGCTTGTAATAAGGGTAGCTCCATATCTGCTAGACAAGTTTCATGTGATCGTGTGGCGGAGGAGTGGCATATTAATCCCCACTAGCTATCCGTGAACTGCTAGCGTACGATTGTAACATTGTCTGATTAATGAAGCTCCTATTATCTAAAAAAAGTAATGAACAATTGTGTTAAGTCATTTTTGAAAAACTGAGCTAGTTTCGCTACAATTTTAAAGTGTGCACGTGAGGTTTTAAATTCTAAAGGCCAACTTTTGAAGTGAGGTAAATTCTTCCCCATACGCAGCCCTCCATGTGATGAGCTCTTCTTCCTAGTCATTTTAGACAACAATGGGCAAGGGCAACCTTCAAAGTTGTCAAAAACGTAGATTCTATGTTGTAAAAAACATAGATTCTATATCGAATCAGAGGGCTTTAAGTAGGATGGTAATTATAAGATCAT